GGCAGGAGCCTGGTTGCGCAGGGAAAAGGGCAGGCAGCAGCAAGGGGCGGCAAGGGGGCTGCAAGTGGCGGCGCGCAGGCTACAAGAGGGGCGGCTCGGGGGCCTAGGGGCGGCCGGCGGGCCTAGGGGCGGCGGGCGGGCCGCAAGGGGCGGCGTCGAGGCTACAGGGGCTGCGAGAGGGCCGCAAGGGGCAGCGGGCAGGGCAGTGGGGGCGGCAAGAGGGCCACCAGGGGCGGCGCGCAGGGGTGCAAGGGCGGCTCGCGAGCTGCAAGGGTTAGGGGCGGGCCGTAAGGGGCGGCGCGCGAGGCCTAGGGTCGACTGGCGGGCCGGAAGGGGCGGCGCGCTCGGCCTGGGGTCGATGGGCGGGCCGCAAGGGGCGGCGCGCGGGGCAGCAGGAGTGACGGGCGGGCCGGGGCCTAGGGTCGACGGGCGGGCCGGGCCTAGGGTTGACGGGCGCACGGGGCAGAAGGGGCGACGGGCGAGCCGGGGCCTAGGGTCGACGGGCGCGCGGGGCCTAGGGTCAACGGGCGCGAGGGGCAGTAGGGGCGACAGGTGGGCCGGGGCCTTGGGTGGACGGGCGGGCGGGGCCTAGGGTCGACGGGCGGGCCGGGCCTAGGGTCGACGGGCGAGCAGGGCAGCAGGGGCGACGAGCGGGCCGGGGCCTAGGGTCGACGGGCGGGCGGGGCCTAGGGTCGACGGGCAGGCCGGGCCTAGGGTCGACGGGCGCGTGGGGCAGCAGGGGCTACAGGCGGGCCGGGGCCTAGGGTCGACGGGTGGGCGGGGCCTGGGGTCGACGGGCGGGCCGGGCCTAGGGTCGACGGGCGTGCGGGGCCTAGGGTCGACGGGCGGTCCGCAAAAGGGCGGCACGCGGGGCAGCAGGGGCGGCACGCAGGGCAGCAGGTGCAGCACGAGGGCTGCAGAGGGCGGGGCGTGAGCCAGCAGGGCGGCTAGTGGGGCAGCGCTGTGGTGGGCCCTAAAAAAACGGTCCTAACGAAGGACCTGCTCTGAAACCATGTCAAAGGAATGAACGAGAATGAATGAACTATGAAAGAGTTGGGTACAAGTACTAACCCTAATTGGGTTGTACCCCTTATGGGCTACCCCACTATAGCCTACACAAAGCAAGCTAGTAAGCGGTGGTTAATCCCTTTTTTGTTTTGAACGTCCAAAACACGCACAAGAACATGTGCTTTCCATTCCGGAAGTCACCCTTCAGCAGTGTCTTTCGCTTGAAAAACACCCACGGCTTCAACTTCTCGCCCGTCGCCGTGCACGCCAGCATCACAGTGACTCTTTACTTCTGGTAACCACGGCTGCTGATGGGCGCCGTCTTCACGCCCGTCTGCTCCACGGTGGTAGTGGCTGGCATCTCCAACCAAAGAGGCGTCTGGTTGGGGTTGATTATGTATCGATTGTCGATCACGTACTCGTTGCGTGCGTTGCGGACGAACTGCCAAAATTATTTACACTGCGTCGCCACGTCTGCGCGCGGGGAGGGAAGGACAGATAGGAAGAAGGATGAGTACCGCTACAAGATACAGATATTCACGGGAGCAACAACTCTTAAACCATGCGAATTCGCTCGAGGTAAGCGGGAAACGAGGCACTTACGCTCCTGTGTATTCTGCGCCACCTTAGTTTTCATGCGCACGCTGAGGTTCCACCGCTTGCGGAACCGCTCCGACCACCGCTGACTCCCTTTCCTCTTGACGTCCGGGAACAGCACCTTCATCACTTCGCGTGACCAATCTTGGAGCCGGCCGACTGAAACTGCAACACCGCGACGTCGTCAGTCGAGGAGTTGAGCGTACACCTTTAACTCCATGGGTCTGTACCAAGAAGACCTCCCGCGCCCATGAAGTCGACACCGTGCGGCGTGTGAAGCCTCGAGCTCCTCCGCTTGGGTTTTCCACTCCGTCAGGCATTTGCGGTGTATGCCGAACTCCCACGCGACCTCGCTTATCAATGCCGCCAGCTCCAACCGCACGAGCCACCTGAGTTTCTCCTGGGAGGTGTAGGACTGTCGTTTATGTTGAGACGGCTTGTGCCTAGGAGAGGGGGGGAGGACATCTCGATTCTGGGAGGAGGGGTGGGGTCGTTTTTTATTATTCGACGGATATGTCGGTATCGGCATCTTCTCGCGTGGTGCGTCGCGCCACCATGACTCCACACCGTCGTCGTCCTCGGCAGTTGCACCATGATCTGGGAACACGTCCTCCTCGGTGCCCGCTTCACCGTCGCCGTCGCCGCTGTTTTGTTTATCGACGGCCACGTCATCGTCGGAGCCCACAGCCGACTCGTCCCACGTGCAGGCTTCAGGCTGTCCCCACCGTGGTGCAGGCGGCGGAGCCTGGATGAACACATCGGGGGCCTTGGGTGTGTCCAGTTCAGACAGCCACTCGTCGAAAGTGGCTGGTAAATACAGCTGGAGCACGGGCCGTTGGTGAGCACTGACACCGATATCAGGCGGATTCGGAGGGGCGGGAGGAGCGGGAGGAGCAGGAGGAGCAGGAGGAGCAGGAGGAGCAGGGGGCGCAGGGGGTTCAGGTGGCACTGGAGGCGCTGCTGGCTCACGGGTATACCACCCGTCGTCGGTAAATCGCCACGGTTTTTCTTGAAGAGGAAGTGCGTCCCGCTGAATTCCGCCATGGCTTCGCCAGCCAGGCGGCCTAGACTGGAATCTGAATGAAACAAAAAAAAAAAAATGAGAAAGAGGGTGCACAAATGGGCAACGAAGGGGACCTTGTAAGGTTGGCGCCAGGGACGTCGACATAAGACCAAATTGGTCTGATGGTCTTAAAATCAGACTCAGGTTAGTCTGTTAATCTGATTTCAAAGACAGGCATTTGCTTTTCATCTGAACTGTAAGATTTGCAATTTTTATTCATCTGAATTTGCAGACTTGCTTATATGTTTCGTATGTATTGGCAGACATCGCGTTTTCTTTCGTCTGATACTGACAACCTGGCCCACTAGCCCACAGACCCACGCGACCACTAGTCCATTACCTTCACATCGCATTTATGATACACCTTGCCAGCACATATTTGCTGCCACTGCCATCTGTCCCTGGCAACTTCTTACTCAGAATTTGCCCAACATTCACCGCTGGCATAGAAGATGCCAAACGGCTGGGCGGCGGGATGCTGTTAGCGCATACGAGCGACGTGGATGGCACCTTCGTGCAGCCACAGTCGACATCAGAGGGTGCGCGTCGCCATGGGGACTTCACGTTATTGAGGTGGTTCTTCCATCTCCACTCCACCCAGCCGATTTCTGCAGTTCCCTCTAGTCGAAACCAGCAGACGCAGCAGACTAGGAGCAACGACTTCGTCATGGCGTCCGATGGGCGCTCTGAAGCACCTCCCATATCCCCCAGTAGTGCCTCACCAGTTGATGCCGTCGCAACAGAGAAGCGTACCGGCCTCGATTTCTTGACGGGGCTTAGCATCCGACCTGAGCCGACGGTAGCACCAGGGAGCGCCAAACCTGCTGGCGTCGAAGTGCCCCTCACAGCCGATGCGCCACCATACCCTTTTACACCCATCGACGATGAGGATGTCTGGAAGCTGTCCTCCCCTGCATCCTCATCGCGCCCGTCTTGTGTTGCCGCTAGCTCTCCCGTTCGCTCGCCCACGGTTATTTTGTCACCACGCACAACCGCTGCTTCTAAACCTCCTCGCCTGCCATTCCTTCCTACTCGTTTCCTAGGTTCTAAGAAGTACAAGCAACCGAAACTCCCATTCAGAAGGCAGTCGACCACCACTGCTCCAACACCTGACGTGTTGACAACGACACCACCTGTGCAACTCCTCCCTTGGATGATGGGCCGTTCTTCCAGACTGTTGAAGAAATTCAATTGAAGGCCAAGGAGCAGTGGTCACGAAATTTTCCGTGGCTCGTCATTTTGGAGACAAGCGAGGGACGACCGTGCATGAAGTGTAAGGTGTGCATCGCTTACGGCGATCCTGACTACTAGTATGGGAGGAACGGTGAAGGCGGGATTGACATACAGAAGCAGACGATGCGGAAACATCATCACAGCATCAAACATGAAGCGGCGGTGGAGAGGAAGGAGCCACGGGAAGGGAACAAAACGAGGCAGCCGTCGATTGCAGAGTTTGCAAATGGCGACGCTGAGGCTAGTCGCCTCATGAAGTTGCCGTTAATCGCTCACTTCATCTGTAAATCTGACGCTCCCATTGCCCTGTTTATGTCACTGGTGCAATTCATGGCAGAGATGGGGACTCCGGATCTCCCATTGAAGGACCACGGGACGTACATCAGCATGTAAGTGGATCATAAACATGTCAGCTGTACTTAAACTTACATGGATGAACTAATTTACTCGTATTGTCTTTTGAGTGTGCAGGTACGGCTTCAAGCAGCTCATGGATACGATGGTATCTTTCTTGAAGGCCTCACAACTGTGTCACATCCGAGAGAGTCCCTACCTTGGTATTCAACTCGACGAGAGCACAGACAGGCGGCGTGGGAAATATATGATCGTATACATCACCTTCTTACGGCAATGGAGCGTCTTGACCGAGTTCTACACCAATCTCTCTGTTGACAAGTGCGATGCGTCCTCACTGTTCCTCATCTTGTTGACTCACCTGGAAAGCAACGGGGTGGAGCTCGCGAAGATATCCGGCATATTCACAGATGGAGCGAGCGTGATGACCGGCGGTAAATCTGGAGTGGTGGCGCGGCTGCGTACGCGTGTACCGCACTTGGTGTCCTGTCATTGTATTGCGCACAGGTAGGCCTCTCGGTTTAAATTCTGACATTCCCTGTTTTTATTTATCAAGATGTGCTAACTGCTATGTTTTGTTCACTGCAGGGAGGCTCTTGCCGCGAAGGATGCTGCCACTTCTATCCCGGATCTCGGGATTATCGATAAGGTTGTCCGCAAAGTCTCGGATCTCCTCGGCCGATCTAGTCCTAAGCACTCTCGTTTCATGCAGCTGCAAGAGGTGGTGACAGAGACTAACCTGGAGATGCAGGGTATCAAGGACGTAAGGTGGCTGTCTCGTGGTGATGCCATAGCACGGCTCGCGGAAGTCTTCCCTACAGTGGTCTTGCTGCTGTACGAGTATGACAAGAAAACGTACAACATCGTCACAAGCTTCAAGTTCCAAATCCTTCTCTATTTCCTTGCTAATGTGATGAAGGAGTTGAACTACCTCAACCTCAAGTTTCAACGACGTCAGGTGAGGGACTTGTGCCCTTCAGTCGTTTTACAGTAAACCCTTGGGTTTCGCGACATTGTTCTAATCACAGTTTCATATGTGACTTAAACCCAACCCCACTTCGACAGGTTGACGTGACAGTGGTTCAGCCAGTTTTGCAGCACACGCTGAACACCCTAAGTAGCCGATGCATCGACTACAAGGATGCGTTCGGCGACAACAGTGGCAAGTTAGCGGTGTTCCTGCAAGAACATCAGAGTCGCCAGCAGCGCTCTGTGAAAGTGGAGGGTGTTGATTCAGACGGCACGCCCACCACCCACACATACGAGCTGCACGAGAAGCACCTGAAGGGGCAGACCAGCGGGTCGGGCCTGCAAGCATGCATAAACTTCGCCAGCGAGTTTGCCAAGGAGGTTGTCTTCAACCTCACTGATCGTATGAAGGATCTGTCGTCGCTGAAAGGAGCTCGACTCTTCCGTCAGAGCGCTTACCCTAGCACGCGGGCGAGGCGTGAGGTAAGGTTACCTCAATGGCTGCAGGGACTCAGGGATCTCTTCAAGAGAGAGCCGGGTGATCCTGACACACTTCTGAGTGAGTAACCAACGTTCGAGCCTGGACTTTTTATACATCCTCTCCCCCTTACCTTTGTATGATGCAAACACTCCACGATGTCAGCACATTATAGCTTATGCTGTTGTGTAGGCTATAGTGGGGTATCCCATAGGGGGTACAACCAATTAGGGTTTCATATTTGTACTCACTTCATTTCATAGTTCATTCATTCTTGTTCAAATATTCTCATGGTATCGAGCAGGTTCCCCCTTGGGAACTGTGCTTAGGGCCCACCACATCGATTTTTTTTTCCTGCCCGAAGCGCGCTCAGCCCGAGTCGCGCTTCGGGCCCTCACTTCGTCGAGCCGCCCTAGCGGCCCTGCACTGCGGCCCCGCCACCCGTCTCCGCGGCCCCGCCGCCCGTCTTCGCGGCCCCGCCGCCTCTCTCCTAGCGGCTCCGCCGCCCTACCTAGCGGCCCCGCCACCCTACCTCGCGGCCTCGCCGCCCCATTGCGCGGCCCCGCCGCCCTACCTAGCGGCCCCGCCGCCCCATCGCGGCCCCGCCGCCCCATCGCGCGGCCCCGCCGCCCCATCGCGCGGCCCCGCCGCCCCATCGCGCGGCCCCGCCGCCCTTCCTCGCGGCCCCGCCACCCCATCGCGCGGCCCCGCCGCCCCATCGCGCGGCCCCGCCGCCCCATCGCGCGGCCCCGCCGCCCTACCTAGCGGCCCCGCCGCCCTTCCTCACGGCCCCGCCACCTTACCTGCGGCCCCGCCCTTACCTGCGGCCCCGCCGCCCTCTGCTGCGGCCCCGCCACCTTACCTGCGGCCCCACCACCTTACCTGCGGCCCCGCCACCTTACCTGCGGCCCCGCCGCCCTCTGCTGCGGCCCCGCCACCCTATCTGCGGCCCCGCCACCCTACCCGCGGCCACGCCGCCCTTACCAGCGGCCCCGCCGCCCTTACCTGCGGCCCCGTGCCCTGCAGCAGCACAGCCGAGCCGCCCAGCAGCCGAGCCGCCGAGCCGCCCAGCAGCCGAGCCGCCCAGCAGCCGAGCCGCCGAGCCGCCGAGCAGCCGAGCCGCCCAGCAGCCGAGCCGCCCAGCGGCCGCGCCGCCCAGCAGCCGAGCCGCCCAGCAGCCGAGCCGCCCAGCAGCTGAGCCGCCGAGCCGCCGGGCCGCCCAGCAGCTGAGCCGCCGAGCCGCCGCGCCGCCCTCCTTCAGGGCCGCCCGACCTGCCCAGTCTGGTGAGCACAGCGCCTTTTCACTGCACTGTCCTCACCCCACTGTTTGCGCTGCTAGTCGTCTAGGGTCATGGCTACCCCTAGTGTTCTCGCCTTTGACGCTGAGGGTAGGGCCATTGACTTTGAGGTCTGGGTAGATGACCTGCAGCTGTTCTTACAGTGCGATAGGGCAGACGGCCTCTCTCTCTTTGACCTCACCTCTGGCACCTCCACTGCCCCTGCTACTGATGCTGACGCCACTGTTCGCTCCCAGTGGGCCACGCGCGACGCTGCTGCACGTCTTGCTGTGCGTCGCCACCTCCCTACCTCCGAGCGTGCGCACTTTAGTCAGTACAAGAGTGCTCAGACCTTGTACGACGCTGTAGTTGCGCGCTACTCCTCCCCTGCCACTGCTGCACTGAGCCGTCTCATGCTACCGTACCTCTTTCCTGATCTTACTGCCTTTCCCACAGTCACTGACCTCATTACGCACCTCCGCACTAGTGACACTCGCTACCGCGCTGCACTCCCTCCTGACTTCTGCGCCAGGAACCCCCCCCCCATGTACATCACTCTTTACTACATAGTCACTCGCCTTCCTGACTCCCTTCGCGTAGTCAGGGACCACTTTCTCTCTGTCTGTCCCACCACTCTCACTGTTGACCTCCTCGAGAAGTCCCTCCTAGCGGCCGAGAAGAGCATCGTCGCTGTAGGGGCCTCTCGTGGTGACCCGCGCACCCCCATCTTTGAGGGGTGTTCCCCCTCCCCCCTTCTGCCCTCTGTTGCCTCTGCTGCTGCGGCCGACCTCCTTGTTCTTGAGTCGGTCGGTGCGGCGTCTGCCCCTAGCGGGAGACGCCGCTCTGGCAAGGGCAAGGGGGGCAAGGGCGCTGGAGGAGCGAGCGGGGGCGGTGGAGGTGGAGGTGGCGGCAGTTGGGGGAGTGGGGGTGGCGGTGGGAGTGGAGGTGGGGGTGGAGGGGTCGGTGGCGGCAGTGGAGGTGGAGGTGGCGGCGGCGGTGGCGGTGGGAGCGGAGGTGGCGGAGGTGGCGGAGGTGGAGGCGGCGGCGGAGGCGGAGGCGGCGGCAGTAGCGGAGGCGGCGGAGGCGTCGGAGGCGGCGGGGGTGGCGGTGGTGCTGGTCGCGGGTCTTCGCAGAGGAGTGGCTCCGGTGGTGGCTCGCGCCAGCAGCAGCAGCGTGGTCGTGACACCCTGTCCCCTCAGCAGCTTCGTGAGTGGTACACTGCGCGTCAGCGGGGTGGGGGTTTTGGTCCGTGCTCCTACGTTTTGCGCACTGGCGACCGTGCGGGTGAGCAGTGTGGGGGTGCCCACCCCACCCAGCGCTGCTTTGGCCGCCTGACGGACGCGTGGCGTCACCAGTTCTCGGAGGCCTCCGAGATCCCTCGCTGGGGCGAGCTGTCTAGGGCGGGTGTTGCCATCTATGATCTTGACTTTGATGCTATTCTCTCTGCCATGTATGCTGTGTCTATTAGTGATGAGGGTGACTGTTACCGGTGTTTCCCGCCCGATCCGGGCATTGAGACTGCTGCTCTAGGTCCTGGTGAGGCTGCTGCCCTAGGTGCTTGCGACGCTGCTGCTCTAGGTGCTCGTGTGTCTGCGTCCTCAGGTACTGGTGAGTCTGCGCTCTCAGGTACTGCGTCGGCTTCGGCCTCCCTCACCTTCACCCTTGACTCTGGGGCGTCTCGCTCCTTCTTTCGGGACCGCACCACACTCACACCGCTGAGTCGACCGGTTGCAGTGTCTCTGGCTGACCCCTCTGGGGGTCCTGTCCTGTCTCGCTTCTCCACAGTCCTCCCGTGTCCGGCGGCTCCCTCTGGCACCCTGTCTGGTCTCTACCTCCCCTCGTTCTCTACGAACCTGGTGAGTGGTGCTGACCTACAGGATGCGGGGGTCCACCAGTTCACTCCTGCACGTCAGAGAGTGACCCACTGTACAGAGGCTGGCACAGGCCGACACCTGGCTACGTTCACCCGTCAGCCGGGGTCGAGCCTGTACACTCTGACCACTGCGTCTCCTCCAGTTGCTGAGTCTGGTAGGGTAGTTACGTCGGGTCAGGTGTTTGCTGCGGCGTCCAGGTCTGGTCCTGAGTCTGCCCCCTGTTCGTGTCGTCTCCTGTCTCACGAGACTCTCCTCTGGCACCACCGCCTTGGCCACCCCTCTCTGCTTCGGCTCAGAGGTATGGCCTCCCGTCTTCTTGTGTCCGGTCTCCCCCGGTCCCTCCCTCCCCTTCCTCAGGGCCCTGGCCCTGCCTGTGTCCCCTGTGTCGAGGGGCGCCTGCGTGCTGCCCCTCACTCCTCCCAGTTTCCTCCGACAGAGGCCCCGTTGCAGACACTTCACATGGACGTGTGGGGCCCAGCCCGCGTCCGTGGACAGGGTCACGAGCGCTACTTCCTGCTCGTTGTTGACGACTACTCGCGTTACACCACAGTCTTCCCCTTGCGCAGCAAGGGTGATGTCACTGAGGTGCTGATCGACTGGATCCGCGCAGCTCGTCTCCAGCTCAGGCAGAGCTTCGGCTCGGACTTTCCTGTTCTGCGTCTGCACTCGGACAGAGGCGGAGAGTTCTCCTCTGGCCTTCTGCGTGCCTACTGTCGTGCACGGGGCATCCGTCAGACCTTCACGCTTCCGGACTCACCGCAGCAAAATGGGATTGCTGAGCGCCGCATTGGCATGGTCATGGACGTCGCTCGTACGTCTATGATGCATGCGGCTGCCCCCCATTTTCTGTGGCCGTTTGCGGTGAGGTACGCGGCGCATCAGATCAACCTCCACCCCAGGGTCTCCAGGCCGGAGACCTCCCCAGCCTTGCTGTGGACGGGGAAGGTTGGCGATGCGTCGGCGTTCCGGGTCTGGGGATCTCGGGCGTTTGTCCGCGACCTGTCTGCGGACAAACTATCCCCTCGTGCTGCTCCTTGCGTCTTTCTGGGGTTCCCCCCTGACGCGCCTGGGTGGCAGTTTTACCACCCCACCTCTCGCCGTGTTCTGTCCTCCCAGGACGTCACGTTTGACGAGTCGGTCCCCTACTACCGCCTCTTCCCCTACCGCACTCCGTCCCTCCCCCCACCCCCACTCTTCCTGGTACCAGGTCCCCCCCAGGTAGACCCCCTCCCCCCTCAGGGTCCTGCCCCTTCAGGTGTGTCCCAGGTAGACGCAGTCGAGCCTGTCGAGGTCACTGGTGACTCTGGTGCTGCTGAGGGTGCTGAGGCTGGGGGTGCTGTACCTGGGGGTGCAGAGCCTAGGGGTGCTGGGCCTGGGGGTGCTACGTCTGGGGGTGCTGAGCCTAGGGGTGCTGAGCCTGGGGGTGCTGAGCCTAGGGGTGCTGAGCCTGGGGGTGCTGAGCCTGGGGGTGCTGAGCCTAGGGGTGCTGAGCCTGGGGGTGCTGAGCCTAGGGGTGCTACGTCTGGGGGTGCTGAGCCTAGGGGTGCTACGCCTGGGGGTGCTGAGCCTGGAGGTGCTCCGCCTGGAGGTTCTCCGAGTGCTTCGTCTCGCCGGGAGCCACTTTCTCCACAGGAGCTGCGTGAGTGGTTTGCCCGGCGCTGGAGGCGTGCTGCTGGTGCTGGAGGTCCTTCGACTGCTGAGGGTGCTGCGGTCGCGGGTCCCAGAGGTGCTCGTCCTGGGTGCACTGGAGCTGGTGCTGCTGAGGGTGCTGGCGCTGAGACTACCGCTGGCAGTCCTACTGGGGGTGCTCCTGGTGCTGCTGGAGGTTCTGGAGCTACTGGTGGTGCTGCTGGAGCGGGTGCTTCTGCTGAGGGTTCTGGTGCTGTCCCTGCTGCTTCTAGCGTCGCCGCGCGGCCTCGACCGTACTTCGTGCCACTC